CTTCCCCTCACACATCCTGGTCTTGCCACAGTGGTCTCCTTGCTGTCCCCAGTCTCAGGGTCTTTGCATTTGCTGCCCTCAATGCCTGCGTAGCGTACTCCCCCACTTCCTTGTCTTGCCACAGTGGTCTCCTTGCTGTCCCCAGTCTCAGGGTCTTTGCATTTGCTGCCCTCAATGCCTGCGTAGCGTACTCCCTCACTTCCTTCAGGTATTTGCCACACTGTCACTTTATCAGTAAGGCCTTCCCTGACCCCACCTCTACCCTCACCCCGGTAATTTAAAATATTACCTCATCCCCACTCCAGTATATCCCATTCCCTTTCTCTGCTTTGTATTTTTCTAAAGCATCTATATACTACGTATTTATATATATATATATATATTTTTTTTTTTTTTACTAATTAATTTGTTAACTGTCCAGGAGAACAGGATTTTTTGTCTTTTTTATTTACTGCTGTTTTCCTAACAACAGAGTCTGACACGTAAAGAGGCACTCAATAAACCTGTTGAATGAGTGTTCACTTCAATCACTGAAGGAGAGCTTTGGGGAAAACGGTGAAGAGGAAGGAGAAACTCAACCTCAGTATGGTAGGAAAAATCAGGTGCTTCCAGGCACTTACCTGCTCCCCGACTGGGAGGGTCTCGGGCTGGGGGAGGTGGCCTATTACTCTGTAAAGAAGGGGAGGCTGAGGTGGGTGGAGGAGGCGCTAGGCCTCTGACAGGCCCTGGTGTCTTCCTGTGCAAAGAATTGTGTCTCTGTGGCAGCTCAGGGGCTGACTCGTTAGTGGGACTGGAGGGTCCATTGGGGACCCCGGGAGGCTGGCGGTAAGGCGGCGGCGGAGGAGCTGGAGACTGGCCACCTGGTCCTGTTCTGACATTCACAGGGGAAGGAGGCGGCTTGACTGGGGGTGGAGCGGGAGGTCCCTCTCGGCCAAGGTGAAGCCTCTGTCCAGGTGTGGGTGGCAGGGGCTTCTCTCTGTTGTAGGCTGCGGTTCTGCTGCTGTGCACAGGCAGAGGCGTAGGGGGGGCGTTGGCACGCCGCCCCGGGGGAGGCGGAGGAGGGGCGGAGGAGCTGTGCTTCATGCCCGTATTGCTGGTGGTATTAGGCCGAGAGAGGTCCGGTAACGAGGGTCTCTGCATCCGGGGCAGTTCTGGGAGTGAGGCTCGGCTGCTGTCTGTATCATCCTGAGGGCGCCCGCTGGCTGTAGACCCCGGAGGCCTTGGGGCAGCAGCTCGAGAACTGGGGACTTGCAGGGCTGGCTTGCCAGCTAGGTTCTCTACAAATACACCAGACAGCACTGGGTCAACAGGGCTGGACCTATGCTGCTGGGTATCTCCACGTCACCCCGCCTCCTTAGTGCAACCTGCATGGCAGCAGGGCAAATACTTGTATGATTCTGGGTTTTAACCTGGTTTCAGGCTCAGGGCCCATTAACAAATACTACTGATGCAAGTTGAATGCTCAGCTTTTGCTTTATTCTACTTTATAATCCCTGCCCTGCCCCCAACTCCTTCTTCCCATCTCTACCACACTCCTCGACCCCAGAGGGCCCACCTGGGACCAGTCAGAAATGAACGCGCTTGGGAAATATCCTAAGAAAGTACTTATCACATACCTGAACCGTCCTTGGCTCCCACAGGGCGGAGCTTGGGCACTCCTCCTTGGAAGAGACCTCCCTTGGGCTGCAGGGCAGCTGCTCCAGAGCCATAACCACCACTGCTTCCTTTGGGTTCTGGAAAGCACACCATTAGGATTTTCATTTCATATGCTCTGAGGCTGGTGACCAAGTCAATCCTGAGGAGAAACCCCTCCTCTACCTGGGCTTTAATTTGCAAACAAACCGATACTGCTTTTGCCTTTCCACTGAAATAGAAAGCTGGGCTTCTCTGCTCCACAGCTTCATGTAGGTGTGGGGATGAAACTCTGTGCTGTGATGAAAGAGAGAAAACAAAAGGAACGAGGAGCCAATCTTCCTTTATTTAGGGCAGAGTGGTAACCAGGATGAAGACCTGTTCAACAGAGTTCTCTAGGCTTTCCTCTCCAAGTCCCAGATGGTGAGGGGGCTTAATGGCTCAGGGACCCAGGTGTGAGAAAACCCCCAGAGGCCTTTCAGAATGAACACTTGTAGCAATTATAAAATCATCGTTGGCTTCAGCTTACAGGTTTTTAGGACTGTGGTGGTCTTCTCAGAGAAAAGCCAAGGATATGCCCTAACAAGCACTAGTTATAGTAGGAGATGGGAGGCTTAAGACCCTGAGAATGCTTCTCAAAGGTCAAAAAGCAATTTCTAAGGTATTCAAATGAACAGATGAGAAGACAGTCAAAGAACATCCCAAGACAAAACTCTCCCACTCACGACCCAACAATAAAAATGACAGCCAAGCCTAGTCCCCGAGTCAATCCTGGGATCCCAGTGGTTCATTAGGAGATGAAGCTTAGACTCACTCTCGAGGAGGGGAGCACTCCGATCATTAACGTTGGTCACCTTCTTCAGCCTGGTCCCTTTGCAGATGTCCTGTAAGAGAGCACCTCGACCCCGCTGCTCATCTCTACTCAGCTTGGGCAGCTCAGTGTTGGCCTGAAGGAAGAGGGAAACATAAGTTCACCCTCAATATCCCTTTCATCACAAGCTCGGGATAAATGCCTTAAGCCAAACTGGATTCCACGAGATGCCTGTCTAACCTAATAAGATACACGTGCCAAACGACGGTATCAATGTCCATTATCCTCCTCCTTAGAGCTTTCTCTCATGCTGTACCTTCTGTGAAGGATATAGGTCTTCCTCCTGTTCAGAAGCTTCTGACAGGAGGCCTGTACCAATACTTACTGAGCACCTATGTGCTAGGCTTGTGTGCCGGACACTTTATTTGTATCATCACCACCAAGGCAAACGTTTATTGAGCCCCCACTATATTCCAGGCATTGTGCTAATAATAAGCACATTACTTTCATTATCTTGTTTAAATCCTGAAATATTCCTATGACCAACAACAACAGGAGCATAGGGACAGACAGCTAGATAAACGGAACAAAACAGGAAGTCCATAAAGCAGGCCCAGGTCTATATAGAAATAATAAAAGTATATTTCTTCAGTGCAGAAAGGATAGATTATTAAATACAAGGTGTTAATAACAAGTGGTTAATTTTTTTGGCCATGCCAGGAGGCATGTAGCATCTTAGTTCCCCAACTAGGGATCGCACACACACCCCCTGCAGCGGAAGCGTGGAGTCTTAACCACTGGACCACCAGGGAAGTCCGACAAGTGGTTAATTTTTAGAAAAAAATAATAAAGTTAAATACCTACCTTAGCACTTTACTCTCAAATAAATTCTAGCTGAATTATAAAATTTAAGTGTAAAAAAACAAAACCACAGAAGTACTATATGCAAAAATATAGGTAATGGGAAGGACTTTCTAATCAAGACAATCAAAATACAGGAAAAGATCGACAGATTTGCTAATTTCAAATTATTTACTTAGGAATATAAGTAAATAAGCAGATGACACACTGGAAGAAAAATTGTCGGTGACAAATGTTAACATATGATAGAAACAAAGGTAGTGGCCCAAATCTATAGAGCATTAACATATAAAGATGACTTAGAAATCAGTAGGATAATAAGCAAAAGATATGAACAACACTGCATAAAAGAAGTCAAAAGAGCCAACAAATATGAAAAAAAAACAACTATAATAAAAAAAAATGTTGTGTAAAACTATCATTATCTACCTATGATACTGGTAAAGGTTAAAATTACAAAGAGACTGCTAGCTTTGTGAAGTCAGGGACCACTGCCTATACAGTGCCTGGCACACCGAAGATGTTCAAAACAGTGTATAGAATAAAAAACTGCCCCATGGTGATCTTAAGGATCCAGGAAAACAGGTACTCTTTTCTACTACCTGTGGTAGGATAGATTGGTATGATTTTTCTAGAAAGTAATTTATGTATCATAAATTTATGTATCAAACACCTTGTAAAAGTCTAGCACAAGAATTCTACTTCCAGAAATTAACTTTAAGAGAATAACTGGAGACGTGCACAAAGACGATAATAATAGCAAAAAACAGTTTATAATAGCATAAAGCGGAAGTAATCTAAAAGTTCAACCGAAAAGAACAACAAAGGTATAATCATACAGTGGGATGCCAGTTAAGCTCTTAAGCTCTTAAAGGATGTAGAAGTAAGCATCTTTTCATGGAAATAAATATCTGACACAATCAAGCAAAAAATATTATAGAACAATACATATAGCATGATTCCAGTTTTCTACAGGAGTCTTAACAGGACCTATCTCTCATAGGGTAGTTTTGAGAATTAAATGATAACACTTTTTAAGAGCTTAGCACAGTGCCTGGTGTATAGTAAGAGTTCAATAAGTAGTAGCTAGCTTATATGGTGAAGAATAAAAAGGTACGACACACATACAGAAAATTTCTAGAAGGATATACACTGATACTAGCAAAAGTTAATCTGGGGTAATAATTATTTATGTTTATCTGTATTTTCTAGTTTTCCTACAATAAACATACAAAATGTTAACAAAGGTTAATTATAGATTAACATTTTCTATGTTTATTGGTGTTCTCTAGTTTTTTCTGGATTTTTAATACAGTAAAAAATTTTTTAATGATATCACTAAACATTTAATGACATGACAAGCCATTCATGATGTATTAATGAGGAAGGAGAGCCGATCAGAAATCAGTATGTATATAAAGCACAGCCTTTTTTTAAAAAAAAAGGTAGACGGGCTTCCCTGGTGGTGCAGTGGTTGGGAACCCGGCTGCCAATGCAGGGGTCACGGGTTCGAGTCCTGATCTGGGAAGATCCCACATGCTGCGGAGCAACTAAGCCCGTGCACCACACTACTGAACCTGCATTCCAGAGCCCGCGAACCACAACTACTGAAGCCCACGTGCCTAGAGCCCATGTTCCACAACAAGAGAAGCCACCAAAATGAGAAGACTGCGCACCGCAACGAAGAGTAGCCCCCGCTCGCTGCAACTAGAGAAAGCCCGTGTGCAGCAACAAAGAACCAATGCAGCCAAAAATACATAAATAAATTAATTAATTATTTTTAAAAAGGTAGACAGATACAAAAGGAAGAAGGAGGGAGGGGAAGGCTAGACACAAAACTGTTATGAATGGTTGGATTATGGGTAACTGTTCCCTTTTGCTTAACCACAGTTCATAAATTTCTTGAACATATTACTTTTGTAAAGAGAAAAATATTACTAAGCATGTCCAAAATTGAGCTCATATCCTCCTCCAGAAACCTGTTTCTCTTATGAATAGCACCAGCATTCAATCAATCCCCCAGGGCTTCCCTGGTGGCGCAGTGGTTGAGAGTCCGCCTGACGATGCAGGGGACACGGGTTCGTGCCCTGGTCCGGGAGGATCCCACATGCCGCGGAGCGGCTGGGCCCGTGAGCCATGGCCGCTGAGCCTGCGCGTCCGGAGCCTGTGCTCCACAACGGGAGAGGCCACGACAGTGAGAGGCCCGCGTACCGCAAAAAAAAAAAAAAAAAAAAAATCAATCCTCCAACTAGAGTCATTCAAATCTCCTTCCTCTTCTTCACTCTTCCATCTGTCACCAGACTCTTAAGATTTCACTTTGTCATTGTCTCCACTCTCCATCCTCACTGCTTTAGTTCAGACTCTCATTTTCAATTGCCACAGGCTTCTGTCTCCAGTCTCAACCTCCCTGTCTGTAGTCTCAACTCCCAACCTACCATCCACACTGTGAAGAGTAACTTTCCTAATATAAACCCAAGCAGGTGGTTCCTCCTGCTGCTGAAGAGACTTCAGCATCTCCCCATCATGACCAAGAGAAAACTCCAAACCCCCCACCTACACCTCCAGCCTCAGCTCCCACCACACCCCAAAAATTACAGGAAAAAAAACAGAAGTTGGCAGACCTGAACTGTAGTCTTAGTTCTGAAACAAATTAAGCTAGGTTAAGTCACCTTTCCTCCTTCAGGGCACAATTTCTCATCTGTTAAACACCCAACACACCCAACACACACACACACGCGCGTGCGCGCGCGCGAGATGAAGCACCCAGGTTCCTTCCTTCTTTCTCATGTGACTCCAGGTACCACAACTCAGATATAGTAAAAGTGGCTGTCTCCTTGGTTCAGAAGCCACATTGCTTTTTTTTCTTCCCATTACTGAACCGTTAGTCTTCTTCCTAATTTCATTAACTCCTTTCTTTCTTGATATGGGGCACGGGGGCATTTAGACCTGATGGACTTGACTTTAAAGTGAACTGATTTGGAGTAGAAGAGAAGGAAATGAAATGGCAGCAAGAAACAACAACTAGGAATTGCCATCCCTTTTCTCAAAGATGCAGAAAAAGGACACATTGACCTTTATACTACAATCGTTTTAGGGAAGACACACTAGTTCCTACTCTGATGCCACCTGACCAAATCTCCATTTAGACTGAACCAGGATAAAAAAAAACCAAGACAAGCCATTATGGTCCTAAGAGGACTTCTCAGGAATCAGAACGAATTGAGGAAGACAGACTTTACTTATTTATTCTCCATCTTCCTACACCCCATGTCTTTGAGTACACTATGTCTTATACCAGGAAGCCCTAAGTATCCATTCAGGTCTTGAGATAGCCAGGTGGATGGACTACCTACCTGATTAGAAGTGGGAGGTGGAGGAGGACCGGGGGGTGGTGGAGGGGGAGGAGGAATTGGCATCCTTGCCCTGTTTGCAGTTGGCACTGCTCTCTTTCCTTTTTAATCTGCAGCTTTAGGTCACTCATATACCTGCAAGTGAAACAGAAATAAATTCATGAGAACAACTTTGCCATGAGACACACTGAGTACCAGGAGAACCAGAGGACTGAGCATGACACCAGAGAGAAACTAGGCACTCATCTCCTAGTCGCACTGTGATCTAGTCCAGGGCTCGGTAAATCTTTTCTGTAAAAGGCCAGATAAAAAAAAACTTTAGGCTTTGTAAACCACGTATGGTCTCTGTCGCACATTATTCTTCTGTTTTGTTTTGACAACCTTTTAAATTAATAAGCTTTATTTCTTAGAGCAGTTTTAGGTTCACAGCAAAACTGAGCAGAAAGTACAGAGTTCCCCTAAAACCCCTGTCCCCCACCACACACACAGAGTTCCCCACTATCTACCCTGCAGTGATACATTTGTCACAATCGATGAACCTACACTGACACCTTGTTATCACCCGAAATCCATAGTTTACATTAGGGTTCACTCTTTTTTTTTTTTTTTTTTTTTTTTTTGGTGGTACGTGGGCCTCTCACTGTTGTGGCCTCTCCCGTTGCGGAGCACAGGCTCCAGACGCGCAGGCTCAGCGGCCATGGCTCACAGGCCCAGCCGCTCCGTGGCATGTGGGATCTTCCTGGACCGGGGCACGAACCCGTGTCCCCTGCATCGGCAGGCGGACTCTCAACCACTGCGCCACCAGGGAAGACCCTAGGGTTCACTCTTCGTGTTGTACGTTCCATGGGTTTGGACAAATGTATGACAACTCTCCACCAATGTCATATCATATAGAATCGTTTCACTGTCCTAAAAATTTCCTATGCTGTATCTGTTCATCCCTCCCTGGCCCCCACCCCTGAACC